TGGGGCGTCTGCGCTCCGTCTCTTCACATGTCCAAACCATCTCAGTCTCGCTTCCCTCAGCTTGTCCACCACAGGGGCCACTCCCACCTTCTCTCGGATAACCTCATTCCTAATCTTATCGCTCCTAGTGTACCCACTCATCCATCTCAACATCCTCATCTCCGCAACATGCAATTTTTGAACATGTGAGTTCTTGACTGGCCAACACTCCGCTCCATACAACAAGGCCGGTCTAACTACCACTCTGTAGAACTTACCTTTAAGTTTAGGTGGAACTTTCTTATCACACAAGACTCCAGAAGCAAGCCTCCATTTCATCCAAGCAGCCCCTATGCGATGTGTGACATCATCGTCAATGTCACCACTTCTTTGGATTACAGCCCCAAGATACTTAAAACTTTCTTTCTTAGGAATAATCTGTGTGTCAAGTCTCACTTCCCCATCTGCCTCATCCAACGCATCACTGAACTTGCACCCCAAATATTCCGTTTTGGTCCTACTCAACCTGAAACCCTTGGACTCCAGCGTTCGTCTCCACACCTCCAGCCTCGCATTAACTCTGTCCCGCGTCTCATCGATCAGTACTATGTCATCCGCAAATAACATACACCATGGGACCTTCTCCTGAATAGACCGCGTCAACTCATCCATTACCAAAGCAAATAGCCAACACAAAAATAGTAAATTTGCAAAATCATAAGAGAAATTTACCTGAGAGAAGTGTAGGAAAAAGTATGGTTAATTTGAAGAGGATGATTCAAATAAAGAAGAGAGAAGAAATAAAGGGGAGAAATATTAAAGAGAAGAATTGGGGATTTTTTTTTTAGATTTTTGGTTGGATTAGTTTAAGTGTGAGTGGGTTAAGTGGGTGGATACGGGTGGATTTTTTAATTTTCGGGTTAATTAATTGGTCAAATCGGATTAAGCCCTAGGATTGTGTCACGTGTCACTAATTATTGTTCCGTCAGAGTGAGGGGCAAATGTGCTCTGCTTTTTGGACGGCAGGGGCACTAATGACCGGAAAGTATAACGGAGGGTATTTGTATACCATTTACAATAATTCGGGGGCATATTTGTCCTTTTTCCCTTTTAATTTTGTGTATTCTTTATAGTGAAAATTAATAATAAAATCAAATTATATTATTGACAAAAAATAGAAAAAATTTAAATACTACTAATTCGGAATGGAAGTAGTATATATTAAATAATATATTTTTAAAATATTATATTACATTTAAAAAGAATTATGAGTATTAGATATTTAATTAATGACATTATATGTAAAATAATATGTTAATTAGAAAATAATAGAAATAATAATAAAATATTGAAAAACAATGAATTAAAGGTTATAAAAAGTTTCAAAATTAGGTGTAGATGACTCAAGTCTTAATTATTGAGTAGGGGTGATAATTTTTAAATTAAGAATTAAGGGGCTGGATTTTTCATCCCCAAGGTTTTTTAATTTTACACTTTAGCCCATCTTATATAAAACCCTAAATAATAAGAAATGGATGGGAAAAAAGGCACCAACGGCTCACCTTTTTTTCTTTTTCTCTCTTGCTTATTTTTCCATTGTTGTTGCTCTTCTTCTTCATTCTTCTTCATCATTCTTCTTCTTCTTGTTCGTCACCATCTTCTTCTGGTTATTCATCATTTTCTTCTTCTTCAGTTGATATTCACATTGTACTGCTGCTATCAGACCAATTTTCATTCCTATATCATTGGGCATTACATCATAGGTGATTTTGATAAGTAAACTAATGATTTGTACTCTAATTTTTTATTTTGATAGTTTGAATGTTTCTTCAATAATTTACAGTTGCGTACCCAACAGGTAAGTCATCTGTTGCAACAAATAGCTTACCTGTTGGCTACATATTACATAGCATATCAAGCTGGGATTGAACCAGAAGCTTGTCCCAATAGATAAGTCATTTATTGCAACTGACGAGTCATCTGCTGCACCAGATGACTCATCTGTTTTAACGGAGGGCTTACCTGTTGGATACATATTATAGTACCAGGTCAAGCTGGGAAAGAACTAGAAGCTTGTCCCAACAGATGAGTCATTTATTACAATATATGAGTCATCTGCTGCACCAGCCAACTCATCTGTTGCAACATATGGCTTACCCGTTGGATACATGTTATAGTACCAAGCCAAACTAGGACAAAATCAGAAGTTTGTCCAAACAGGTAAGTCATAAATTGCAACAAATCAATTACCTAATGCAACAGATGACTCATCTGTTACAACAATTGACTTACATGTTGGATAAGCTTTTGGTTCTGGACATGTATCCAACAATTGAGTCATCCGTTGCAACAAGTGAGTCATTTGCTGCAACGAATGACCTACTTATTGCAACATATGATTGACTTGTTGGGATAATGATTGTGCATATGATTTTTAATTGTATAGAGCCACTTAACTTTACTATACAATCATTACCAAATATTTTTAATAAATTTCTTTAGGTACCATTAACGAAAAAATCAATAATAATAGTTGTTGATTCTTATGGTGAATGGATTGAGAAGAACAATCGATTTATTTGGCGTTGGAAGGATGATGACATGTCAGAGTCAGTATTTATGACCGTCCAAAGGAATATTTTGTATAATGATTTTGTGAACTCAATCATTAACAATTGTGGACTAAATTGTCAATCAAATGATCTTGTCATCAGTTACATGCACAAGTCTTTTGAAAATCAGAGGATCCTACCTTTTAAGATACGCAATCAACTTCGTTTGCGTGCTTATCTGAGTGATGCAACTAGGCCCGTTTTAAGGGTGTACGTTGTTAAAAATTGATAGAGAATGAAAATGTAGAACAAGACCAACACAATATGTTTAATGATGAATTGAATGGGATGAAAATGAATATTTCAGATGATGAGATTGGACATGATGTGGAGGAGGACCAAACACCTACACCCATTATTGATATAGTGGGCAGTTCTTAGTCAAAATAGTTGAACAATCTTCAAGATGATGAGACAGATTTTTACATAGGAATGACATTCAAGAAAAAAAGAATAACTAGTCACTTCATTGCATATTGCTTGCTTGAAAATAGATTTCAGACTTGCAAAAGGTGATTAATTCGCGTAGTGTGTATTGTTTTAAATGTGCACATTGAGAATGCAAGTGGTGATTGAGGGTTGTGAAATTCATAAGTTCTGACAGATTTTGTATTAAAACTTATAAAAAGTACCACATATGTGGTCAAAGCATATTACGAGTCATAATCCACATGCCACAACAAAAGTTCTTGGTAAATACTTCAAAAATAGCTTCCTCAATGGTAAAGGTCCATCTACAAGAGATATGGCCAATCAACTCCGTACAAAATTGGGTTGTAAGGTGAGCTATTGGAAGATATATAAGGGTAGGGAGATTGCAAAGTCTTTGGCTAGGGGAACACATGAGCGCGAGTATGGAGTTCTTGATGCATACCGCTATATGCTTGAGTCCACAAATCCAAGAAGTAAGACGGCATTGCAAGTTGATGAAAATGGAAAGTTCAAGTACTTTTTTGTAGCCTATGTGGCTTGGATTCAATGTTTTCAACAATTGAGAAAAGTCATAGCCGTTGACGGGACATTCTTGAAGAGCAAGTACGAAGGAGTTTTACTATCGGTGGTGGCGCAAGATGCAGAGAATCATATTTTTCCAATGGCTTTTTGTGTAGTGGATAAAGAATGTGATGCCTCATATCAATATTTTTTTGAACAAATGAGAAGTTATGTAGATGATACTGATGAGCTGTGCATAATTTATGATAGGTATTCAAGTATCCAAAAGATGCTTTCAATTGTGTATCCATCAGCTCATTATGGTTGTTACATAAGGCACCTTAGAGAAAATATTTGAATCAATTTTCACAATGCAAAGGTTGTATCTCATTTTTATAATGCAGCGAAAGCGTACAATATAGTTGAGTTCTATGACCATTTCAATCAGATAAGGGATATGGTACCCAAGGCAGCCGAACATCTCGAATCAGTTCGATTTCATAGATGGAGCAGGGCATTTTGTCCGAGAAATAGGTACAATATTATATATTGAGTATCTTGTTTAAGTTTTATATAATTATATATCTTTTTAAGATTTTTTTTTTTGTATAGGTATAATATTATGTCGTCAAACCTTGACTGGCTTTTTTCCAAATTTTTTTTGTTGGTTTTGGTGTTGACTGTCTTGACTGGATTTTTACCTTTCTTTCCAACCTTGATTGATTTAGATATCTTTTTTTTTCTCTTTGCTTTCTGATGAGTCCACAATTTAGACTCATTTAGGGCTATATTTTGATAAAATTAGTGTCCTCAAATGCATATTTTGTCTCAATATCTGATGAAAATCCTTAAGTTTCAGGTATTTGGAGTTTGAGGCAAATCATGGATACTACTTGGCAAGAAGGAACAAGGCGGCTGAAAAGAACGAAGAAATGACGGCCTGAAGATCGGCGAGCCCAGTTGGTAAGTTGCCGATCGGCCTGGAGATCGCCTTTTGTTCCACGTCCGATAAATTTTCTTCCCCACTTCACCTCGCATGACAATTTTTTTATTTTTGCAATCCGCCTCACCTTGTCCTGCATAAACCTGCACGAATAAAAAAATTTCAATACTTTTCCTTTTTGATTAAGTTTGACCCGAAAAATAAAATTCATAAAAATACATTTATTTTCTCATTAAGTTTATTAACTTAATAAATAATGACTTAATTTTATTTTTTAGAGGTCGATTAGAAAGCATGTAAGAAATTGTATTACTTTTGATTGAACTATTTTCATTTACTATCTTCAATATTTTACTCACTTTAAAGAAACCTTCAATTGATATTATAGTTTGAATAAAAAATAATGATTTTTTCATGAGATTTGTGTATTCTTACTTGTGAAAGGTGCTCTATCACTCATGTGGCACCTCTCATTGATCAGCATTGTCATTTATCTATTTTCTGGTTTATTTGGATTTTTTTTCTTATTTTTTGTTTTTTTTTTCTTATTTCTTCTATCAATATGAATGTGCAGGTGCTCAGGCATAAATTTACTATCACATTAAGAGTCTCATGAAGGCTCACTATCAGTTACACGCATTGTATTACCAACATTCATTGTCATTCTTTCCATCTTATAATGGCATTTAATCCGATATATATTATGGCTTCAATAATGTTATATCTGTTATACATTGCTTTAGCATTATATATTTTTTCATAGCCTTTGGCAATCAACTAAATGGATGCAGATGCAGATCAGGTTCTTGATTAAGCAGATGAATTAAACAAATTCGGTCAAAGTGCTTTTTATACAGCTATTTGATAATTCAATTGATTATGTTGTATTCCATGGGCATGGACTTTCACACAGATGCAGAGGTTTGTGAAACAGAGACTACCTCAACAAATTCAATCCTCTTTTCCGCCTTAATTCTTTCTAATATTGTTATCGTTAATTATATGCATTTGTTAGTATAACGGTAAAGTGAAGAGCAGGGTCTTATTTTGCAATAATTCTCCCTCTCCATTGTTTTCCTAGGGGATATAGAGAGACAATACACAACTATTATTATCCAAAATTTGCTGAATTGTCAATCTCTATTGTGAATTCTGTTCATCAGGAAGGTGCGGCTTCTCTCCCTTACAAAACAAAATCAACAGGTAAAATAATACTCCCTCCGTCTCATTTTATATGTTACCTTTTGAATTTCAAGAGTCAAACAAGTCTATCTTTGACCGTAAATTTTTCATAGATCTTTTAAACATTTTGAATTATCAATTATTGTGACTCATACTACTTTTTACGTAGTTTATAAATATATAAATTTCATTTCAAAAAAATTGAAGATTTCATGGGCAAATTTTTGGTCAAACTTAAATTGTTTGACTCTCAAAACATAAAAGGTGACATATAAATTGGGACAGAGGGAGTAGTTGATTTAATGGTAAGCAACGGGATATAGCAACATAATCTTTTAGCCTTCTAGAGCATGAAACACTACTTACATTGATTGCTAATTCTGGAAGGAAATCTCTCTGGATGTGATTTTATACGAGTTTTGAAATTTGTCTTCAAGAATACTCTCTAACTATTTGTGTGGATATAGTTTCATTAAAGGTAAAAAAGAATTACTCTATAAAATTAAATTGTTTTCAATTATAGAAAGATACATTCTTTGAAACTGAACAAAAAGGAAAGTGTGTCACACAAATTATGATATTTATTTTCTTTTCTTGGAAAAGTATTAGCAATAATCACTTGCAAATTGTGGTGATACTGATTTGTAAGTATATCTTTAAAACGTGAGTCAGTTGTGATGACTCAAATTTTACATCTCCAGTTTATGTATTACAATCACTATCGTTATCAAAAATAATTTTAGAGGACTCTTATATGATAAGATTCTTGAGAACAAGTCTATACATCATATATGAAGTTGAAGGTTTTGCAATTGAATAAAAAAATCAATGATTAATAATTTATTTATCATAAAAGAAATAAATCAATATTAATAAGAAAATTATATTTAAGAACAAATGTTACTTTCTCCAATTCAAAAGAAGTTATTGAGGCAATGCATAGTTTACATAGTTTCTCGATTTTTTAAAGCTTTTACATGATTTGTCAAATATTAAAAGAAACTATTTTTACAAGTTTAATAAGGTTTTTAAAGACCGCGCGAGGCGCGGACAAGTTCCCTAGTTTTAAATTAAGTTTGAACCCACATAAAATCGCATAGACCCGCAACTTGCCCCACATTAGTTTAAAAAAATTATTTCAACCTGTCCGGCACAACCTTAAAATCACCCCACCCCACATCCTCCCTGTTGTCTTCCCTAGTGAAAGTTCAAATAGCAAATCAACTTAAGCTACTAAAATTCTCCAAAATTTGAGTACTCCACTTTAGTTGTTTTTTTTTTATAAAAACAATAAGTTAACAACGCAATAATACGATTTAAAGAGTAAAAATAAATAAACGAAAATGGAGACTAATATTACAACATACAACGTCCTTGAAGGATAATTAACAAAGGAAATATCACCCTCACAAAAATAACAAAATACAAACACAATAGTTAATTAATAAGTTTAACTTATATACATCAACAGTACCATAAAGAATCAGTCAAACCGTGTAAACATTCTTTACAATAGTATTATCAATCAATCTAAGCCAAACCCTAGAAATACAACAAAATCAAAACAACTTTATTCAATAATATAAACACAATCCAAATAGTAAGGGGACTAAGAGGAGGTTCCATTAGATGGGTTAATTTTTTTCTTATCATTCTTGAAAGGGGACAACA